CACAAATCAAATATTTAAATATTCTAAAAATTATATATCATAAGGGCTTCCTCTACATGCCATTTTACCCCCAATAAAGGCAAATGGAAAATACAACAGTTCATCCTTTTCTCTTTCCTTAGCAAATATTTACTGAATGATTTCTATATGCCCAAAGTTAGGCTAGATGATAGGGTTTCAAGGCAAAGCCCTTGACCTCACAGAGGTTAGTCAGGTGGGGAAGACTGACAACACAGCCAATGAAAGAAAGCATTGCATCTGTGAGGGAGGGCAGAGCAAAGGGTCCTCTAATGAGAACCAAATCCTACAATAAACAAATCCAACCTGTTCCTGAGGTTAGAAAAAAAGAAAAACTGAAGGCTGAATAATAGTTACTAATAGGCAGTTAAATCTTCATCTAGTTATTCTAGGTAAAACTATTTTAAGTCAAGCTGCTGCTAAGTCGCTTCAGTCATGTCCAACTCTGGGCAACCCCATGGACAGCAGCCCACCGGGTTCTTCTGTCCATGGGATTCTCCAGGCAAGAATACTGGAATGGGTTGACATTTCCTTCTCCAATTCTAGGTCAAGAGAAAGTACTAAATTAAAAAGTCTAGAGTTTACCTAATAATTCTAAGACCAGCTGAAATAAGTGATTAAGTGATCAGCATGAAATACCAAAGGATAGTTCAAATATTTTTTCTGGTTTTGAAAAGTTGATATATCTCATGACACCATGGCAGTAATGAAGCATGACTATTTGTGTCACATTACGAAGCAGTGGTCATGAGATTCTCCTGAAAATTATGACAAACTAGAGTAGTTATATGTGATGTCCTTGCTCTCATAATCCTTGACCCAAATTTGGTTCAAAAGCTCTAGACTATATTACTGGACTATATTACACGATCATAAGCACTTCTTTTGACCCTAACTTAGAAAAGAAGTCTTTATGTCTAATTTATGCTACTTATTTTATTATGCTGACCTGAATTCTAAAGCACACTGGGAGTGAATAGGCTCTCATTCTGTGTGATATTAAGCAATAAATTGCTTTTGTTGATATTGCATGTGCAACCATTCAAATAAACAGGGCAATTTATGCAAATATAACTGTTTTACAAAAATCTCATCATCTGAGAAAATCATGTTAGAGTCCTCTCTGAAAGTTCAACAAGGAGCAGCATCAATGCATATTTAAATATCCCATGACTATACATGAGAGGAGAATTATTAAGGTCTTCTCTGGCAGCATAGAGAAACTGTATATAAACTTTCATGTCCCAGACAAATTAGATGGCCCCTTGTTGAAGGACAGCTTTCTTTTCTGACATCATTGTCTTGATTTGTCCTCTCAGAATCTAACAAAGGAGCATGCATCCCAAGTTCTATGCCTACATGCACGGTGAAGATCCTTTAGGATCCAGTTTTATAAGTAGCCTTTGCTTAAAGACTTAAGCCTAAAGTTTGGAACTGAAACACTTTCAAAGAGAGCAACTTTTACAGACATTTATAAAGAAGAACCACAATACTCAAACTGTTTGAAAGAATGGAAGTAATTCCTTGGAACCTTCCAGCAGAACACAGAAACATTATCTTTGAGCTTATACTTGCTGTCTCCACTTACCTCACATACACACACATACCACATGAGAAGGTCAACACTTCCTTTTCTTGGTATGCTTCTTATACAATGAAAGCATGTTAGTAAGAATAGCAACTCAGCTGTATTTTATACACACACACACACACACACACACACACACACATACATAACCTTTCAGTTACGACTAAATGCAAGTGTTATCTATCACTCCAGTTATTTTCAATCTTTTCAAACTCAAGCAATAACTTCAATAACTTCACTGATTTATAAGAAACTAGTGTGGAACACTAATAATTAGGCATCATTGGGTGTTGTGTTTTCCATACAGGATTTAATTTATCTTACTCTCATTAATTTCATTCTCTATAAAAGGAATCTGAGACATGGAAAGTTCAATTACGTGTCAAACATTACACAGAATACAAGTGATGGCAACCATTATGTAAATCCAGGTCTTTCTGAGAGCCTCGCACTAGCTTATCTATATGCCACAAAACCTCTCCTTACGTGCACCTTGACTTGTGTCTTTCTAGAAGACCAAGTTCTAGAACTAGCAAAGAAAAAAAGTAAACACTGAAAATTACCCTTGAAAGTTACCTAAAATTCCCTAAAAATGTATACTTTACTGAAATTTCAATAGGGCAAAGTTTTATAATCCTTTTTCTTTTACTTCGAATTAGCATATATTGTTGTTTCTCTGAATGTCAGAGAAGGTAGCTGGAGTCTTCTTTTAAGTCATGGAAAATGAATATTTACCTCTATACACTGGAATCACCTTTGGGCTGGCAACATGCTCACAATATGAGCAGCCCGCAGAAGTGACACCCACCTAAGAAATGATGGAATCATGCTTCCCATCTCAAGGTTTTTCCTAAGAAATACACATACTGAGTGAGCAGACTTATCACATTCCACTTAAATTATAAGTTCCCCTCCTCTTACTTCCTTCTTTCTTGGGGAGAGAGGAGGGAGTTTGATGCTGGGGGGTCTGTTAAACACACAAATGAATTTACTTAAATTCATTGTACATATGGTATGGTTCCAATGAAGTTTACTATAAATGCATGTCAACTATCATAATGAAGAAGAACTTATTGCAAGACATTACCTGAACTCACAGTGCTTTCTGGCATTTCTGCAGCTGGCTTTTTAGTCACCCTCATACCCAAATTCAAAGGCTTTCAGATTGAAGTGTTTTATCCCAAATGGCTGCTAATAATTTTATTTTGAGCTGGGTCATTTCAATGTATGATTAGCTAAAATTGTAAGTTGGGGAGTTCAGATTATATTACAAGGTCCTTTCCTTTATGAAGAGTCATATACAACAGACTTTGTATATGTAAAATTTTCTCCGAGTGACACCAGGAATAAACAACCATTGGAAACTCAGCACTGACCTGTTATAGAATACAGACTTTTATAAAGGCCAACATTTGTCTTGATCCTCTCCTTTACTAAACAATCAACATGATTTTGGCCTTTGAACACTGCACATTTTGTAACTAAGTGGGTAGTACCCTTTGCTTTGTCCAGTACAAAGTTCAGTATTAAATTTGAGATTCACCTGTGGAAATTCTGCAGAACAAGATGGTATCTGAACTTTATTTCTGAGCTTTATCTTACTATTTTACCCATATTTTCTCTTCATTTTATCCTACCTATTGGTTATTATGCCCATACTTTAGATATGTCTTTAAGTCAGCCTCTAACATTATTTTCGTTAAAGCAGAAGTCAAAGAAACAAAGAAAGAAATAAATGCATGGTTATCAAAAGTGGTTAGGCTGTTCTCTAAAGATTCATGAATTCAGCTGTTAATGAGTCTTATAAATCACAGCATGGAAGACACAGGCCAGAGTTAAGACTTATTTCTTAATCTGAAAGTTTCTCACTGAATCACTCCAGAAATGCTTCCCTTAGAAACAGAGTAGCTGGGAGTACAGCGGTGACTCAGAGAGACAGGTTCTCTTTTAGAATCTATGGGGCAAGACAGAAAAGGACAGCAAGAACAAAATATGCTAACCGGTGATAACCAGTGTGGGAGAGGTCCCTAGAAACACAAGACTGAGCTGACAGAGCCCAGAAGGTTTTGTACACGTTTGTATGAACCTAGAAATGGCATTAAGGATGAATCCTGTAAACCACTAGGATCTATGCAGTCAAAGGTGCTAAGAGTGACAGTATTTCAGCCAGAAGGAAGAGTATAAGAACAACCCAGCCCTCCAGTGACATTTTCAAATGAGACATAATGATAAGACACTGAGTAAGAAGCACAAGATTCATAAAGAAGTCATGGCTCCCTTCTTTCAGCAGCCATGTACAGACACACCATCCATATGCTGGAGCCTCACATGTCTGAGACTGTGATAGTCTGTGATAGACCATCTATAGTCTATAGACTATAGATAGTCTATATATATAGTCTATACATAGAGACTATAGATAGACTATTGATAATTTATAGATTTGCACCTACAGACTGAAGGTCAAATGCTCCAAGCCATGTCTTCAGGATTTATGGCATCTATCCTCATGAGAAGGACCTCTGCCTCTATCGCTCTGTTTGTTTGTTGGCCTTACAGTTAGTTAACTATTCTGATCAATGATAGTTTGGATAATATCCTTACCACCAAAACCGAGGACCAGACTTTAGCCTAAAAACTTTTTAGGAATATCGAAGCATGAAATTTTTCAAAAAAATCTATATTTACTAGATTCAGCATTTCCATACGGGGAAGCCAGCATATACATTGTCATGATTCTTAAGTTTGAAGATTATGTCTCATTTTTACAAAATCTGTCAAACATTTGAACCCATTACCTTCCATTTTGAGTTTAATAAGCAAACATAAAAGAAACTTCTCTAAATGCTATCTAATAGAACTGCCTCAAAAGAATCTACAGTTTCAAAGGATATCTAAGTACACTCTACTGCCTGGATAATTCACTTAATTTGTTTTGGCCAAGTCATTCAGAGCCCTCACCATTACTCACCTTCAAAGCACAGTGTAACTGTAATTGGGTTTTCATAATTTAAACAATGCTCTTCATTTTGGAGAGGGGCAAAGAGGAAGGATGCATGAAGAGGCATATTTAGCCATATTTGGTTATTTTCCTTAGACATAATGTAATCCACACTACCAGCTATTGCACAGAAGTCAGAGAGCAATTTTAGTACCTATTATTTTCCTCTACTTCTTCCACTTTTAAGGGATTTCAGTTTCACAGCTTTGAAAATATTATCTTCCAAACCACAATGTACTATAGATGAGGACTCTGTAGATTCACTTCACAGGCAATGGGGAATGTGAAGGTAGGAATAGGGTTATTGTCGATAGTGTTCACTAATGATTGAAAGAAGCCTAAAGCCACAGACATTTAAAGAGGGTCATCTTGATCACTGCGATCTCATCCTACCTGCCTCTTTGGATATCTGGGTGAAGGATTCCACACCTTTCTCTCCGTAACTTCCTTCCGATGCGAGAGTAGACACGTAATTCCAACCCAGGGCCTTTACAATGTCTACCATGGCCTGGGCTTGAAAGGAATCGGGAGGGACCACACGCGAGAAGAAGTCATAGCGCCGGTCATCACTTAACTCGGGTGCCGTTGATGCATAACTAATCTGGGGGATCTGAAAAGACAAGAAAGCACTACATGAGGGCACACCATCAAGATGGGGGAGATTCATTTGTACTTATGACAATTTACTTAAAATACAGGTCTTGAGCTCCAAAGAGGATATATGTTTGCCAAACACCGCACAACAGTGTAAACCACCTAAATGCAACCAAATGCTATTTTTGCATTGTGACCTTTTATTTTTCTCCTCGTGGAGAAAGGAATGGGAATGGAGTGGGAATTACTTACATCACGGTTGTTAGGAGAAAAACATATGTAACCATTCTAACATTGTGAATCACGCTTTAGTTACTATACACTAATACAAACAAAAGACAGGACAGCCTAACTGTTATATAAAGGTTGATTTATTTGACATATCTTGAGAATGTTTGTGGATGTAATCAGCTAGCTAACATTAGACTCAGTGCTGATCACCTGTGAGGAAATAGCTAGGCAAGCTTCATGCATTATTTATTTTTCATAAGAGCATTATGAAGTAGGTCACTAACCCCCTAAGACCAAGGCAAGGGGGTTCCCTGCCCACCATCGCTTCAATGGCTTATGAACTTTGGAAGGTCTTTCTCAAATTTTTCTTAGCTTCCATTTTGGATGCTGAGAGAGGCTGACAGTCTTGATTTAGTGACAGTGACCTCTGATTCCCATTTTTTTCCCTTTGCAGAATTATCTGACCCTCAGCTTCATATGTGATTAACCAAATGCCTCAAGAGTTCTAGAACTTGTGTCTATATGGGTCATCCTATACCAAGTCCCTGGTTCCAAGAGTGCAGTCTAATGAACAGAATACTCCTCTTGGCTGGCAAAGTATTCATGTCCTAGATCATGTGAGATTACAATACCTGATATACTGATCTTAGTTAAAGTCAATTATGCATATACAAAGAAACCTAGAAAAAAAAAATGTTTACCTGGGATCACAAATATACTAGGGAAAAACCTGAAGTTGCCATAGATGAGGGACATAGCTTAAGGTCTAGCTCCAGGATCTCTAGAGTAGTTGTTTTTACAACGCAATACACTGCAGTTCTTTCTCTTAACAATAGCATGCAGTAGGCCATGATAGGTACAATTTACCTATTTGTAAGAATGACCCACTTCTACAAAAGTCTAGTTGTAACTCTCCCAGGATTTATCCCTGCTGTAGTGTAAGGTTATCTCATGTATCTAAAAACCAGTTTTGATCTTTGCTCAGACAAAAACCAACAGTCCAACTCTTTGCCCCAAAGATATCAAAACTATACTCAAGTTAATTCTTTGAGCCCTGAAAAATTCTACCCAGTACTAATGTATTTTTCTTTTTTGAGGGCATTTGGCCTAAAGCTTACCCAGTTGCCATTGTTTAAAGCTGGCTACCACTTCTATAAAGCAAATTTCTCCACCAACCTCTCAAGGTTAGCATTATAGTCAGGTCTTGTGGTCCCAACAGTATTGCATGCCTGCTCAGTCACTAAGTCATGTCTGACTCATTGTGACCCTATGCACTTCAGGGTCCTCAGGCTCCTCTGTCCATGGGATTTTCTAGGCAAGAATACTGGAGCGGGGTGCCATTTCCTACTCCAGGGGATCTTCCTTACTCAGGGATTAAACCTGTGTCTCCTGCATAGGCAGGTAGATTTTTTACCACTGAGCCACCTGGGATGGTGACTACAGCCATGAAATTAGAAGACGCTTACTCCTTGGAAGGAAAGTTATGACCAACCTAGACAGCGTATTAAAAAACAGAGACATTACTTTGCTAACAAAGGTCCGTCTAGTCAAAGCTATGGTTTTTCCAGTAGTCACATATGGGTACGAGAGTTGGACCATAAAGAAAGCAGACTGCCAAAGAACTGATACTTTTGAACTGTGGTATTGGAAAGTCCCTTGGACTGCAAGGAGATCCAACCAGTCCATCCTAAAGGAGATCAGTCCTGGGTGTTCACTGGAAGGACTGATATTGAAGCTGAAACTCCAATACTTTGGCCACCTGGTGCAAAGAACTGTTTCATTGCAAAAGACCCTGGTGATAGGAAACACTGAAGTTGGGAGGAGGAGGGGACGACAGAGGATGAGATGGTTGGATGGCATCACCAACTCAATGGACATGAGTTTGGATAAACTCTGGGAATCGGTGATGGGCAGGGAGGCCTGGTGTGCTGCAGTCCATGGGGTCGCAAAGAGTCGGACACGACTGAGCGACTGAACGGAACTGAGCCACCTGGGAATAGATGACCCACCATTTCCCATGTGGCCAGTCCCCGATGCAGCGATCTATGACCACTAGGGGAAGGCTCTCCACTTCTGACTCAAAATCCAAAGCCAGTTTTAAGAAAGTCTCCAGGTCTCCTGATGGTCTTCATCTGAGTAATTTCTCAATTACAGCGGGAATGAAGGGCAGTGGAAAGAAAATGGGATTTTATATTTAGAATATATGGAATAGGAGCCTGATGGTTCTGTTCACTTGTGTTTACTAGGTGAGTATTTCACTTCATTGAGTTGGTTACATTATTAATTAGTATAAGACTGCATTGGAATAACAAATGGGCATTGCTTAGTGTGATGCCTAGAACAGTGTGGGCACTTAATACATGGGGTATCAACAATCAAAATAGAGAAAATCATGTGTTTTCTTAATATATTTACCCATCCTCTACATCTGACTTCCCATTTTCTCTGTGGCACACTAGCAAAAACATTTCACTTACTGTCCTAAAAAATGTTTACATGTTCCCAGTATTATTGCTTTAGAAATAACATTTACTATTTATCTAACTCTCCATCATGTAGCAAGAATACTCTAAACGTTTAGGGAGGGATTTTGTTTTATTCATTTACTTTTGTTGAAATACAGCTTATTTACAATATCATGTTAGTTTTATATGTGGGAAGGGGAAGTCGCTCAGTTGTGTCTGACTCTTTGCAAATCCATGGACTATACCATCCACAGAATTCTCTGGGCCAGAATACTGGAGTGGGTAGCCTTTCCCTTCTCCAGGGGATCTTCCCAACCCAGGGATCGAACCCAGGCCTCCCGCACTGCAGGTGGATTCTTTACAGCACAGTAATTCAGACACACACACACACACACACACACACACACACACACACCTATATGTGCATATACAGGGTTTCCCCCTTGGCTCAGACAGTACAGAATCCGCCTGCAAAGAAGGAGCTGCTGCTGCTGCTGCTGCTAAATCGCTTCAATCGTGTCCAACTCTGTGCGACCCCATAGGCAGCAGCCCCCCAGGCTCCACCACCCCTGGGATTCTCCAGGCAAGAACACTGGAGTGGGGTGCCATTTCTTTCTCCAATGCATGAAAGTGAAAAGTGAAAGTGAAGCCTCTCAGTCGTGTCTGACTCTTCATGACCCCATGGACTGAAGCCTACCAGGCTCCTCCGTCCATGGGATTTTCCAGGCAAGAGTACTGGAGTGGGGTGCCATCGCCTTCTCTGCAATGAAGGAGACCATGGTTCAATTCCTGGGTCAGGAAGATGCCCTGGAGAAGGTAAAGGCAACCCACTCCATTATTCTTGCTTGGAGAAATTCATGGACAGAGGATCCTGGCAGGCTACAGTCCATGGGATATACACACATAAATATATTCCTTTTCAGACTCTTTTTCCTTATAGATTAACACAAAATACTGAGTATAGCTCCCTGTGCTATACAATAGGTCTTTGTTAGTTATCACTGAAAGTTCTAAATGCATCCCCTTATCTAACCATCAGTAAACATCCTTCATTATACTTTTTATACTACACTAGGGCTTCCCTGGTGGCTCAGATGGTAAAGAATCGGCCTGCAATGCAGAAGATCTGGGTTTGATCCCTGGGTCAGGAAGATCCCTTGCAGAAGGAAATGGCTACCCACTCTAAAATTCTTGCCTGGAGAATCCTTTAGGACAGAGGGGACAGTCTATGGTGTTGCAAAGAGTCCAATATGACTGAGTGACTAACACTTTCACTTCATGTTATACAATTATTAAGTCATTTTATGAAAGAGGAAATTGAGCCTTAAAAGTAGAATATAAGCTTGCTTCAGGTCACAAACTTGTAAGATAGAGCCATATTCAAACTTAACATAACCCAATGCAAACTTCTGAACTCTTAACTATGATACTTCGCTAAATTACTGCTAAAACGTTTTAATAGTAAGCATAAAAGAAGAAAGAGTAGTATATTACTGGAGTGTAAGTCAAGTTTCGTGCACAGTACTTACTATAGAGCCACTGAAAATAATTTTACAGGTCACTCTTAGACTGTTGTTCAAACATTTTATTTAGGTGTCTTATTATAGTTTATACAGATATGTGAGTAGATTGAGTATCCTATGTTTCATTCACGGGTCATAAATTTTAAGTGAAAAATAAAATCAACTGAATAAAGGCTTTGGGCAAAATTTAAAGGGAAGGAGGGAAGGAGCAAGAAAAATATCTTTCTTACGAGACATAAAAGGAGAAGCCGCCAAGCATGGCAGTACAGTTCCATCAATTTCAACTTGGGGAAATGCAAAAATCTTTGTGTGGTTGCACAGATGCCTTCCTTGCCAAAATCCCTTTCTACCTTTGAAGGAGGGCTAATAAAGATACATCTACCCTCTACTTAAATTTGCATTTATGTAGCTGCTGTAAAACACTGCAGCTGTGAGATGCCTCCAACACAAATGCATTTTCTAAACTGCACCCCAAATTTTAGTAATGAAAATCCTAGTGTAGCAGATTTATTTCCTTACTACCCTTTGAAAATGGTTGCTGTCTGTGGTTTATCCTTTCCATTAAAAATAAGAAATACCTACTGGCTTAAGATTCACAGGGTTCCTTCACAATCACACACACACATCCTATATTCAGTTATACTTATCTGCATATTATACATATAATGATGCTAGAATAAGGAATGAATGAATAAATAGATTTCATTTCTGAGATAAAAATATGGCCATATAAAGAAATTCCCAGAAGCAATACGAGATGAAGAACAGTAAGAATGTATGTAACCTATAAAATATGC